AAGGCTTCGTGTTGAAGACCGTACTTCGACCTATAATGGTTTACTTTTACAAATTGTGACTTGGATTGAGAGTTGTCTTTGGTACTGATATGACATCCTGTTATATCTATCTACAAGATTGAGAACACATTTTTTTGTAATAAAACATATTTAATTCTATAATATCATATATAACAATTTATTGGTAATTTGTGCAATTTTCCTTTCATGTGTACTCTCTGATAATGTCAGTATCAGTTGACTGGACCTGATAAAAAAATGATTGGGTCAGTTCGCAATTGACATGCGCGGGTGCACTGCGTAAGGATCTTCTTTCCCCTTTCATTCACAAAATCGCGCGTGATTTTTTTTGCAGAAAACGCACAAGTTTTTTGGTGAATGAAACACTTGTCATATTGTTTGAAAGTTTCAGTAAAGTTAGTTTAGCCTTTTTGACCGATTGTGTAAAATTTGAACAGAAAATGAATGAAAAACCTGATAAACTTTTTTAAAAAAAATGCACTATTATTGATAGCTTTCCTTGCTTATTCACAAGGACATATAAACATATCATCCATGCTATTCCGATCTGAGTTTTTTTTCATACATAGTCTGGTGCTGTTCCAAGTAGTCTTCTTTTTCTGTTTCTTGAGAAGTATTTGTTTTACCTGTTCAGTCACTTTAAAGTGTTACAATTCATATTTAGACGCAACACATAAATAGTGACCAAAAAGGTACCGCTATTGCATGAGAGAAGCTAGAAAAAAATCAAATGTACACATTTTCGACATTTTTGTGGGACAATGAAGATGTGGTTTCATTGTCAATATATAGACAGATATTCATAGACCATTTGGCCCAAAGAACAAATAAGCAAACAAATTCAAAAGCGGATGTAGGATGAATTATGAAAAAAATGGGTGCCCGGGGGTCCCAAACTAGACAACTTTTTGTGTGGAACAGGTAAAAAGTCTACATTAACAATAAATGTAGCCCTAATAAGGGGTGACCCGAGTCGCCTTCCACTAAATCCACTTCTGAAATTAAAGGTAACCGCAGGGACTTCAAAGTTTCATATTTCTGGGCCGGGTTGAAAAATAAATGAACATGAGTTTGAAAAAAGCAAGAATTTTAAGCTAAAAGAAATAGACCAAATTTGGGTGACATCTTTTAAAATGTTTGAAACAATTATGAAGTCGACAAGAAATGAGCTTGTTCAGATAATTTACAGTCAGCCTACAGACTTGTTGCCTCCTGAAATGTCTGCTTACACAGTGCTTTCCTAAAATGATTTGAAATCAATGTGATCGTTTTCATGATGAAAGCTGAGCGTATAGTGACAAAATAAATGTTATGTTATCTACAGAAGCCTTTTAGGGCCATGCCAATTTACTTTTTACAATTTGTTATAACAGATTATTAATTTGATATAACAGATTATTAATTTGATATAACAGATTATCAATTTGATATAACAAATTATCAATTTGATATAACAAATTATCAATTTGATATAACAAATTGTGCAATCTAATTAAAATATAGATCTCGGATTTCGTTATACTACGTTATACTACATACGAAGATCTAACAAGTACCCTACAAGGTTTCACTTTTGTGACCTTATATAACGTAATATTAACCCCAGAAAGTATTTATATCGACCAATCAGAATGCTCCTTATAAACGCGACCTAGGAACATGTTGAAGATGGCGACGTAGAAATGGAAAAACAACATAGAAAATGCATTAACTGAAATTTTGCCTTAGTACAAAGTGAAAGAATTGAAATTTGAGAAGAGACAAATTTTGGAAATCAAAGATTGCATGGTCAGGCTTCCAACATGCTTCAAACGGGCTATGGAAGAGTTTACATACCAGATATCTGCTACCCGATAATCAAGTCAGCATTCAAAGGTAAATTCTCGAAAATAAGAGTATTAAAGGTTGACATTTTTCTATCATTGGGCAACTTCTCGAGTGTTTATTAAAAAAAATCATTGTGGAGGATTCACAGTGTACTTTAAAAAAACATGGCAATATCCCAGAAAATACATTGCAAGTCTTCATTCTCCTACCAAAAAATTATAATTTACAAAGTCAATGAAGATATGGGATCAGATAAATCTAAATTCATTGGTAATAGCAAGGACGTATATGTTAGTTATACATCCTTGGTAATAGTATATAAATCATAATGTCATCTTATTAATGATATTCTACTGTGTACTTGCAAAGATATACATGTATACTTATGCCAGCACATGCAGAAGAAGTTTTAATATCAGCATACTTTTTTTACTTCTGTCACACACTGATACATGTTGATATCATGTGGTGCTCCAGATAATTGTTAGGGGAAATTTTCTGCCAAGAAAGAAATTAATTGTTCACTATTCTTGGACTTGGCTACAGTGGGTCAGAATGGCAATTAGTGTTTCAGTGTTCATTAGATATTAGCTTAATGCTTTGTGAGAAAAATAACTTCATCCTGTTTATGTACATATAAAAAAGAAGATGTGGTATGATTGCCAATGAGACAACTCTCCACAAGAGACCAAATGACACAGAAATTAACAACTATAGGTCACCGTACAGCCTTCAACAATGAGCAAAGCCCATATCTCAAAGTCAGCTATAAAAGGCCCCGAAATGACAATGTAAAACAATCAAACTAGAAAATCTAACGGCCTAATTTATGTACAAAAAAAATGAACGAATAACAAGTATGTAACACATAAACAAACGACAACCACTGAATTACAGGCTCCTGACTTGGGAATGTGGCGGGGTTAAACATGTTAGCGGGATCCCAACCCTCCCCCTAACCTGGGACAGTGGTGTAACAGTACAATATAAGAACGAACTATAAAAATCAGTTGAAAGAGGCAAAAAGTGTTACTTTAACCGTTCCAGAACAAATGGTAAAATTTCTGAATTTTTCGTTTCCATTCTCTAACTTTTAGTTTGCCTCAACCAAATGTTATGAAACTTATACACAATACTTATTACCAAAAAAACTCAGATCAAGCACAAATTTGGGTAGCATCACTTTTACCGTTCTTCAGTTATGTCGTTTTATAACTTTATATGATCTGCAAGAGTGGGCATCATTTGTGTCCTATGGACACATTCCCCATTTATTGTAGTCTTTTATACTCAAATATTTAGCTTTAACTACATAATTGAGTAACTTTGCAGAGGCGGATTTAGAGGGGGGGGCTCAGGGGGCTCAGGACCCCTTTTTGGAAAAATTTGGTTGTTTATATAGGGAATCACTGAAGCATGGCTGTACAGGCCCCCATTATGAAGAAAATTTCTGGGTTCGCCACTGCTTTGTTTTCATTTGTAACATTACTAGTATAAATAATTTTGAAGACTTGATTAAGTAATTATGCTCTTGACTGATAGAATACTCTATCTTTAAATTCAACATGTCCAATACATATACTTGATCAATATATAGAAGAACAAGACAGACGAGGCTATCTCTATCATAGTACATACATGTATGTTAAATTGTTCAGAAAACAACCAACCATCAAACAAAATCAATAGGTATCTTATAAGATTAATGTCTGGAAATGATGATGCTAAACAAAAAGTAAAAAATGTGAAATGAAATGAAATACAAGTTTAAAGATTTGTGTACAGATTCTGATAATAAATACATGTAGGTACAAATTTGATTAGGGAATCCACACCTCAAGGACTAATCCCAAAAAGGATTACTCAAGGGCCAGTGTTTTTATTTCCCCAAAAAATGTTCAAAGACAAGAAGATGTGGATCCTAGAAATGGATTCACAGTATCAATTTATAAATTTACTTTTAGATAACCTACATGTATATCTGTAAGTAACATTTATTTAAGGACAATAAAACATTCTGTCATTAACCAGAGGAACATATCAATTAAAATGTGTTTGAATAAACACTAGTATTTAGTAACAGGGTATGTACATGTAGGTAGGGAAATCCTAAACAAACATGCATGTACATTTTTTCTTCATCTTTTAGTCTGGAAAAGCTAGTGATAATTATTAAAGAAAAAAATTAAATGAGTTCCTCTGAAACGGATGTTAAATAATCTTAAATAAGCTTTATAATGGAGTCAGCATTGTTTTGAAATCAGAATATTCCATAAATATATTTAAATTGATATTTCAGGAGCAGACATTCTTCCCTGGTCTATATAGCTTTATTGAAAGGAATCAGACACAGAAAGTTTGGGGAAATGAAATTGAGAGTCATTGTGAATAATTCACACACATGCTAGACATAAAGAAATGGCCAGACAGGCTCAGCTATAGAATCTGTATCAACTGGAAGCAACAGCATTTTCATCAGAAAACTAAAAAGGATGTGAAAAACATGAAACATGCATTTGGAAATGTTCAGCCGCCAAACAAATAGATATGCCAGGAAATGCAAATTGTTTGCTAATATAAATGTCAATGATGTCTGTACAAAAGCAAAGATATAAAAGCCTTTTTCATTTATACATGTAACAGTCATATACAATACAGATTTAAGACCATCAGACAATCTTTAAATCTTTGGAAGCCACAGTACCTAGTCCAAGACATTCCATATTTTCAACTCGTTATGAAGACATATTTGACCAATTTGGTTTCCAATAGAAGTTTAAAAATAAGTTCTACATGTACATGACATGATGATCACCAGCAATGAAGGTGATATAGGATATAATATTCAAAGTAGAGAAGTATAAAGTGAATTTGAACCTCCCACCATAATAGCATTCTGCACATTTTGGATCACATATGGATCAAGCTGTTGTACTTGTGAACTAAAAGATTGTTGCTTGTTTGTTGTCAGGTACATTGTACATGTTGACAGTGCTATACGTTCATTAAATAAAATGCAGTTCAGAACAGTTATATTTTAGTAATAGATAGATTTCTTCTGTCTTTATTTGAACAGATAAACCAGATAATTAAAAAAAAAAATTTCTGACAACTATGTCTGTTCTGGAACTGAAGACTACATGTACCTTCACTTTTTGTATCTTCCTTGTTCATTTTCCTCCAGATAAATTACTGACTATCACCATGAGGCTTATAACATGTATAAGTAGGCCTAATTCCTCCAAGGTCTCCAGTTATGTCCTGTCTGTGACAAAAGTTTCAGAATACAAGACATGCAAAACATGAAATGCTAATCGGACAACAACATTTACTATTTATATGAAGTTTTATATTTCAGAGGGTAGAAATCATGGATTTGTCATTCTTAAAATCATAATCATGATAATGTATAAGGAATCCTTATGTTTAGAAGTTTCTGTCAAGACATTTGTCCATTGTCCTTATTCCCTTTTCATTGTTCAGTGCTCCTTAAAAAACTACATGTGTAGTGATTTTATCAAGTGAATTTGTGGCATATTATAAGTAATACGATAACTATATTTGGTATACATGTATGGGATCAAAGGTTTACATGTACATGTGTTGTCAGACGGGGTTCAACTTGTCTCTCAATTTTTTGTCGAGCCCCGGGTTCTCACTAAGGCGAGTCCTGGACTCATCATAATCAGTCTGGACTCATCATTTTCAAAACTTGCGAGTCCCAAGATGCATGAAAATTGTAAAATGTTGTATCAACTGAGCACATACATGTATATCACAATTTTATCACAAAAGTTAAAAAATAATCTAAATTTTGTGTAATTAGGGATAGTGATTCGGCGGCGTTAACTCACTTCTTAAAAGCTTAATATTGCAGAAGGTAGAAGATCTGGATGCTTCATACTTTGTATATAGATGCCTTATGATATGAAGTTTCTGTCAGTCATACGTCTATTGTCATTGACCTCATTTTCATGGTTCAGTGACTACTTGAAAAAAAAGTTCGGATTTTGTTTCATGGATCAGTGAATAAGGTTAAGTTTTCATGGTCAAGTCCATATCTCAGATACTATAAGCAATAGGTCTACTTTATTTGGCGTACATGTATGTAATGATTGTAAGGTGTACATGTCCAGCTGGCAGGTGTCATCTGAGACCTCATTTTCATGGTTCAGTGGTACTAGTTTAGTTTTTGTGTTTTGGTCTGTTTTTCTAATACTGTATGCAGTAGGTCAACTATATTTGGTGTATGGAAATATTTTACAATGTACATACATGTATCAGTCTGGCAGGTTTTATTTGACCTTGACCTAATTTTCACGGTTCATTGCTCAATGTTAAGTTTTTGTGTTTTGGTCTGTTTCTCTTAAAATTTAAGCAATATGTCAACTATATTTGGTGTAAGGAATGATTGTAAGGTGTATGCATGTATGTATGTCTGGTAGGTATCATCTGACCTTGACTTCATTTTCATGGTTCATTGGTCCATATGGAATTTCCATGGTTTGGTCTGTTTGTTTTATACTACAAGCAATAGGTCATCTATATTCTGTGTATGGAATGATTGTATTAAAGGTGTACATGTATTTCCGCCTTGGTTTATCTGACCTTGACCTCATTTTCTTGGATCATAAATGTTAATGTGATACTTGTAGTAAAACTTTATAAGTAGGACTATCAACATAAAATCAATGGTCAGTATAGTAGGCGAGACATTTCAGCGTGTGCACTCTTGTTTCAACTTATAAGTCTACAGATATCTAAATAAAAAATTAAGGTATATACATTAGGTAAAAATAAAAGACGGTGTTCATGTGACCCCAACCTCATTTTACCCATCAGTGATTAAGGTTATTTTTTTGTGCAAATTAATATATATTGTGGTTAATTCCATTTCTCAGATTCTACACAATGTATATAAAGCAGTAGGTCAAAGTTTACATATGAACAAGAAGAGATACTATACATGAAACGTTTATATATATGTTAATGATGATGATGATGATGATGATGGATAGCTGCTTACAGTCCAGTGGCAAATTAATATGCATATTCAGGACAAGAATATGTTTATGTGATGTGAATAATAACCCTGCTTTGTAATAGACCGACAGCAACTAAAATAGCAAAAAATAATTAAATGACATCTAGAATGCAACCTACATGTATATATAAGGCTTCAATAGAAGGAAAGGCAATTGTCTATGCAATATGTCAAGCTCTAGTCTTTAATGTGTCTATAAAAGTAGTGAATAAATTCAGCAGAAATATCTTGTTCATTGTGTCTGTGATAATCATTCATGTACATGTACATCACATCACTGCATGTACAAAAATGTACCACATCTATTTTATATAGATCTGTCATATGCATTTAATACACAATTCTAAAAATAAAAAAATAAAAACTATAGGCCATGCAACATGTACTACAAGTATACAACAGGGTTTATACTTGGTACAGGCACATGAAATGTGATTGAATTTAATGAAATAGTTTTTGTGTCACCTGAGACCATTGTTGTAAAATGTGACACTAAGGGATTACAATCAGCATAATCGTACAGCAGCATAAACTATTTGAATAAAGTTTGATATTTCAGAAGATAGATGACCTGGATGTTTTATACCTTGTACACAGATACATTTTTGTGTACCTTATATGTGTAGTCACTAAGTTTCTGTCCAACAAATGTCCATTGTCCTTGACCTAATTTTTATACGACCGCAAAAACATTTTTGTGGTCGTATATTGGTATGACGTTGGCGTCGTCGTCGTCCGAAGACACATTGGTTTTCGCACTCTAACTTTAGTTTAAGTGAATGGATCTCTATGAAATTTTACCACAAAGTTCAATACCACAAAAGGAAGGTTGGGATTGATTTTGGGGGTTATGGTACCAACAGTAAAGGAATTAGGGGCCAAAAAGGGGCCAAAAATAAGCATTTTTGTAACTTCCAGACATAACTTGTGTGTTAGTGTATGGATCTCTCTGACATTGTACCACAAGGTTCCATATCACAAAAGGAATGCTGGGATTGATTTTGGGGGTAATTGCCTCAAAATTTTAGGAATTAGGGGCCAAAAAAGGGGCAAAAAACAAGCATTTTTCTAGTTTCATGACAATAACTTGTGTTCAAGTGTATGGATCTCTCTGAAATTGTACTGCAAGGTACCATACCACAAAGGGAATGCTGGGATTGATGATGGGGGTAATTGCCTCAATATTTTAGGAATTAGGGGCCAAAAAGGGGCAAAAAACAAGCATTTTTCTAGTTTCAGGACAATAACTTGTGTGTAAGTGTATGGATCTTTCTGAAATTGTACTAAAAGGTTCCATATCACAAAAGGAAAGTTGGGTTTGAATTTAGGGGTAATTGCCCTAAACGTTTAGGAATTTGGGGCCAAAAAGGGGCCAAAAAACACATTTTTCTAGTTTCCAGACAATAACTTGTGTTCAAGTGTATGGATCTCTCTGAAATTGTACTGCAAGGTACCATACCACAAAGGGAAGGCTGGGATTGAGTTTGGGGGTGATTAATCATAAGGGGGTTCAAAAAATATGGGGGGGGATATTTTTTTTTTCCTTTTTTTTTTCTTTTAAAATTTTCCATTTTAAGTTGGTTATTTCTGATTTATATTTAAAAGCAAATAATAATGATATGGTAGGAGATACACACCAAAGAGGATGTGTAAATTATTATATAATAAGTATTGTGCAATAGCAAGAAATTTTCAATTGCACAGTATTGCACAATAGCAAGAAATCTTCAATTGCACAGTATTGCGCAATAGCAAGAAATCTTCAATTGCACAGTATTGCGCAATAGCAAGATATCAAATAGCACAATATTGCGCAATAGCAAGAAATTGTCAATTGTACAGTATTGCGCAATAGCAAGAAATATTTAATTGCACAGTATTGTGCAAAAGAAGATACTTTGTATAAATTGCTTATTTCTTGACCAATTTCAATGGGGTTTTATTCTTGAATTCTTGGGGTTCTTTAATATGCTGAATCTAACCGTGTATTTAGTTTTTGGATTTTGGGCCCCGATTTTAAATTGGTCCACATTGAGGTCCAAAGGGTCCAAAATTAAACTTTGTTTGATTTCATCAAAAATTGAATTATTGGGGTTCTTTGATATGCCGAATCTAACCGTGTATTTAGATTCTTAATTTTTGGTTCCGTTTTCAAATTGGTCTACATTAAGGTCCAAAGGGTCCAAAATTAAACTTAGTTTGATTTTAACAAAAATTGAATTCTTAGGGTTCTTTGATATGCTGAATCTAATATGTATTTAGATTTTTGATTATGGGCCCAGTTTTCAAGTTGGTCCAAATCGGGGTCCAAAATTAAACTTTGTTTGATTTCAACAAAAATTGAATATATGGGGTTCTTTGATATGCTGAATCTAACCATGTATTTAGATTTTTGATTTTTGGGCCCCGTTATCAACTTTGTCCACATTGAGGTCAAAAGGGTCCAAAATTAAACTTTGTTTGATTTCATCAAAAATTGAATTCTTGGGGTTCTTTGATATGCTGAATCTAACCATGTATTTAGATTTTGGATATTGGACCATAATAGGTGAATGTCCAATTTAAGATTTTTAAGTTCTTAGACCACATTCATTCTGTGTCAGAAACCTATGCTGTGTCAAATATTTAATCACAATCCAAATGCAAAGCTGTATCAAGCTTGAATGTTGTGTCCATACTTGCCCCAACTGTTCAGGGTTCGACCTCTGCGGTCGTATCAAGCTGCGCCCTGCGGAGCATTTTATTATGGTTCAGTGACTGCTTGATTAAGAATTGTTTTTTTTTCTCATTTGAAATTTTCACTTTACAAATGTATTATGGTCAATTCTGTATCTCAGATTCTATAAGCAATAGGTCAACTATATTTGGTGTATAGAATAATTGTTAGATGTACATATGCATTTTGGACTAGCAGTTTTCATCGAACCTTGACCTCTTTTTCATGGTTCAATCTTTAGTTGTTGTGGTTAAGTCTGGTTCTCAAACTAGCAATTAGGCCTCTACATTTGGTGTATGGAATGATTTTAAGGTGAACATGTCCGACACAGGCATTTTTTTCTGACGACCTTTTTCATGATTTATTATTTATGATTTTGGTCTATTTTGCAGACACTTTGAAGCAATAGGGCCACTATATTCTGCATATGACTTCTGCAGCCCTTCTATGTCAAGTATATATTGATCTTAAAAAATG